AATGTAGTATTTAGTAAACAACTGAAGTAATATTCGTATCAATTTCCGTCAATTACTAACATTGCATGCATTTAAATGATTCCTTGTCGACTTTGATTTAGTCAAAGTCTTCGTTGTTTGGTGGGCACATTATTAAGAAGACAAAACTACGATTGTCAACGCCTTCGAAATTTTTATCTATTATTGCCTTGTTGTCATTCCCACTAGGCCACTAGAGATCTTTTATTCTAAGGTCATTTTCACATTGCTATATTATTTAGACAAATATTATGAAAAGTGGAGATCGAGGATAGGAGTGGTGGGAATAGAAGCTACGAGAATGAGGTGAAAATAAAGTATGTTTAAGAATGAAGAGAACATGATCAATGTGAAATAGAGTTTGTGAAACTTATTTTCCTTATCTGTTAGAGATGTTTCATTTTTAAGTAACTTATTTCCAAAAGAAAATATTTTTAAATATCATAATCAAGAAATTTAAAACATTTGTGTGTTAGATAATCTAAATATATGGATAAGTGTGGGTAAGGACAAATAAAAATAACACATTCTACCATATGAAGTAGAGACGTATTGAAAATACCTAAAATTTAATGTAAATTATTAGTTTCATTCTCAAATTATTGAGAGTCTTAAAAATACCTATATACTTGACTAATTAAACTTAAATACACTTCAGGATCTTGAAACATGAGTAAAATACACCCCTAAATTCTCACCAAGTTTAGGGGTGTTTTCAACACTTCTCTCGGAGGTGTATTTAAGTTTAGTTAGTCAAATAGATATGTGTTTTTAAGACTGTCAATAGTTCGGTACGAAACTAATAATTTGCGTCAAATTTAAAAGTGTTTATAATAAGTCTCTCTAAATGAAACTACAAATAGGAAATAATCCAAAGATCACTAATTTTAACGTTACTAATACACGCTATTCAGTACTATTCTACCAAACGGTTGCCCTAAGTCCTATATATGGAACCTTTTACTCAATACGTCCTTTTAATTTCCATAATAATATTTCAAAACCATGCAGCATAATCAAGTTGCTCTGTTTTCTTTCCAACTCCCCTGTTTTATGCTAATCTTAACACTAGCCACCGCCCAAATTATCCCTTCTAACACCACATCTCCTCCCACAAACACCACATCTCCGCCAACCAATGCCAACACAATCACCAAAGCTGCTAACATCACAAAACCAGGATGTCCAAAACAGTGTGGAAACGTTACAGTTCCATATCCGTTTGGAATTGGGTCAGGTTGTGCCTTAGACCCCATGTTTGAGATCGAATGCAACGTTACGACACCATTCATAGGGAATATTCAAATTTACGATATCTCAGACACGGAAATGCGTATAACAAATTTCATAAATACAAAGTGTTACTCACAAACAGGAGTTTTAATTCAAGATATTCCTTCTTGGATAACTTTAGGAAGATCAAGTCCTTACAGTTTTTCTTCGCTCAATAGGTATTATCGATTCAACTGAACTTTTTATTTTCTGCTTCAATCATATATATATGTGCGCGAAATGATTCTTAAATATGCTCATGTACAGTTATACTAAATGGATTAAATAAATAAATAAATATGTCATGCCTAATCAATCAAAATTTGCTTAGATAATAATGGGTGAATTAAGATGAGTCATAAATTAACCCGTCCAACATGTAAGGGTGTCAAAAATGGGGATACTAGTTTTAAAAAAAAAGATATCCTTTTACTTTCGTTTATCAGTTAGTCTTGTCCTTCGTTATAATTTATACCCCTACTGTTATTAAACTTAACAAAATTACTCCTGATCGGATGAAAAAATCCTAATCGACCAAAAAAATACTCGATTTCACTTAAACTACCCGTTACCTCTTTTAACCCAACCCATACCCACTAAGCTAACAATCAAATTGAAAATGACGACCAAACTACCCCCTTTATGAAAGAAAGGCTAAAAGAAAACCAATTTATATTCTTTTAAGTTTACATAATTCTTAAATTTCAAATCTAATGTTGTATATTTAAATTTGGATTGCAGTTTGACATGTTGAGTTACATTATTTCAACTCATTTTGATGAGTCATTTCAAGTTCAATTTGTTTGGTCAAGTCAACAAATTTACTGAATCTAAATTGTAAATTCGCCTCTGCAGATTCATCGTGGTTGGTTGTGATGATGGTGGTGTAATTACTGGAAATGACTTCGTTAATAATTGCCCCTCTATCTGCATAAGCACCAATAATATAGTTAAAGGAAAATGTATGGGTTTTGGTTGCTGCCAAATAACAATACCAAAAGGGTTGAAATATTTCAATACAACTATGGTAACCACAAAAAATCATAGCTTAATTTGGTCGTTTAATCCATGTGGATATTCGTTTCTTGGTGAAGCTAGTCGATTTGAGTTCCAGGGTATAGAGGATCTCAGTGATGTTAATTTTGCAAAGAAGATTAGGAATAGTGTCCCTATTGTGCTAGATTGGGCCATTGGAAATCTTTCTTGTGTTGAAGCACAAAAAAGTAACGATTATGCTTGCCTCAATAATAGCCAGTGTATTGATTCTGATACTGGCGTTGGTGGCTATCGGTGTGGCTGTAAATCGGGATATATAGGCAATCCATACATTGGCTCTGGCTGCCAAGGTAATTTGGTCTCTCTGCTTTCTCACATGTTTGGACTTTCTCTTGTTTATAAGAAGTTTGTCTCTTTTTTTTCCCTCTGTTTCAATTTGTTTATTATACGTTCTCTTTTAGTCTGTTTAAAAGTAATGTCAGTTTCATTTTATAACAACTCTTTAATTCCAACTTTGATAGTAAGTATCTAAAAGAAACAAATAAAAAGGACAACACGTCTGGGATTAATTTTCTCTGTTTTGCATGCCAGATATCGATGAATGTGCGGATCCAAATACCAATTCATGTGAAAAGATTTGCACAAACATACCTGGGAGTTTCAATTGTTCTTGTCCAGAAGGATACACCGGTGATGGCAAAAAGAATGGTCGTGGTTGTATTGCACCAAACTCAAACTCAGAGTTCCCATGGATCAAGTTTTCTGTTGGTAAGTTTCTAAGATATTTCAACTTGTCTCTACTTTCCCTTCTCTTATATTTCTAATTCTAATAAATTCGTTCGATAAACACAGGTATGGGAGTTGGTTTTATGTCCCTAGTAATTGGGACAACTTGGCTCTATTTCTGCATCAAGAAAAGAAAACTCATTAAACTTCGCGAGAATTTCTTCCAACAAAATGGTGGTTTGCTTATGAAACAACGAATGTCTTCTCACGAGGGTGGTGTGGAAGCAACCAAAATTTTCACAGCTGCGGAGCTGAAGAAGGCTACAAACAACTATGCTAGTGACAGAATTCTTGGTCGTGGTGGAAATGGAATTGTCTATAAAGGTATTCTACCTGATAACCGCATAGTTGCTATTAAGAAATCTAAGTTTATGGACGAGGAACAGGTTGAACAGTTCATTAATGAGGTACTTATTCTTACTCAAGTTAACCATAGAAATGTGGTGAGACTCTTTGGATGTTGTTTGGAAGCTGAAGTTCCTTTACTGGTTTACGAATACATTTCTCACGGAACTCTTTACGAGCATATCCACAATCGAAATGGAGCACCTTGGTTATCTTGGGAAAATCGGCTAAGAGTTGCTAGTGAGACAGCAAGTGCACTTTCTTACCTTCATTCATCCGCGCAAATGCCTATAATTCATAGAGATGTCAAGTCTGCCAATTTGTTATTGGATGATGTTTACACCGCGAAAGTGGCAGATTTTGGTGCTTCAAGGGTAATCCCTATTGATCAAACACATCTTGCCACTATGGTTCAAGGGACATTAGGATACCTAGATCCTGAATATTTTCGCACAAGTCAATTGACTGAGAAAAGCGATGTTTATAGTTTTGGAGTAGTTCTTGCCGAACTTTTGACAGGGATGAAACCTATTTCCAAGGACAGAAATGAGGAGGAGAAGAATTTGGCAGAGTATTTTGTTTTGTCTATGAGAAGGAATCAATTATTTCAAATTCTTGATCGCAGAGTGGTAAGAGAAGGAAGCCTTGAGCAACTCCAAAAGGTGGCTGAGCTAGTGAAGAGTTGTCTTAGTTTACACGGAGAAGATAGGCCTATGATGAAAGAAGTAGCAAGTGAACTTGAAAATTTGAGAAAGTTCACAAAAAATAACCCCTGGGCTAATGGAAACGGACATGAAGAGAACGGAGATGAATTATCAGATCTTTATACAATTCCAATAGACTCTAATACAGGCATCGACAATTTCTCTGGACAATATAGTTCGAATTCCAATACAAATAGCAGCAACTTTTCTGGACAATATAGTTCAGGTAGTACTTCTAACACAAATAGCCCATTGATCCACAACAGAAGGGCAATTTGATGATTGATAAAGATTATGCGCTTTGGTTTTTTTGATGTAATTTTCTTGTTTGTGATTCACTGATTTGTACTTTCATGATTTTTGTTCTCATCGGAAACTATCCTACTTTAGCTAGCTTTTAAATGTATTTTTTTCTCGTTTTATGTGAGAAATTTGTTGTTTATACTATTGTTGTACAGTTTATGTTAATTCTTTTTAGGGATAACACTCAAATATGCCATCGAAAGACTCATCTATGTCATTCGTTAAAACTTTGAATGGTACAAGCATTCATAAAGGGCTTACATTCATTTCGGTGGCAGAAATGATTCATTCCATTCTGGGCTTCGAATTTCCCTAGATCAATTTCAGTTCCCATTTTGTTTATCGAGTTCTTTTTCAAAATTATTTTATCAACCTTCTGAACTAAATTGAACATAAACAAATTTAACAAATATATACAGATTATACAACAATAGTACTATACACAACAAGTTTTCTCATATTAAAATGAGAAACTAAAAATTCAAAAGCAAATAGATTCGGGAAGAAACAGTTTTCTTTCTATCCTAAATCCAAAGAGAAAAATACAAATCAAAACCAAAAATTTACATTAGAAAATTCAACATTGAAGAACTGTTTTTACCTTCTTTAGATCACGGCGGAATATTTGTACTAGTATATATCAATGAAGAAAACATGCTGCTATTTGTGTTGGCGTTGGAACTGTATTGTCCAGAGAATTTGTTGATACCTGTATTCGAGTCAATTGGAATTGTATAAAGATCTGTTGATTCATCTTCGTTCTCTTCATGTCCGTGTCCATCAGCCCAAGGGTTATTTTTTGTGAACTTTTGCAAACTCTCAAGTTCCATTGCTACTTCCTTCATCGTAGGCCTATGTTCACCGTGCAATCTAAGACAATTTTTCACTAGCTCAGCCACCTTTTGGAGTTGTTCAAGGCTTCCTTCTCTTACCACTCTACGATCAAGAATTTGAAACAATTGATTCTTTCTCATAGACAAAATGAAGCACTCTGCCAAATTCTTGTCCTCGTTATTTTTATCCCTCGAAATAGGTTTTATCCCTGTTAAAAGTTCTGCAAGGACTACTCCAAAACTATAAACATCACTTTTTTCAGTCAATTTACTTAAACGAAAATATTCAGGATCTAGGTATCCTAATGTCCCTTGAACCAATGTAGCAATATGTGTTTGATCAAGAGGAATTAGTCTTGAAGCTCCAAAATCTGCCACTTTCGCGGTGTAAACATCATCCAACAATAAATTGGCAGACTTGACATCTCTATGAATTATAGGCATTGACGCGGATGAATGAAGGTAAGCAAGTGCACTTGCTGTCTCACTAGCAACTCTTAGCCGATTCTTCCATGATAACCAAGGTGCTCCATTTTGGTTGTGGATATGCTCGTAAAGAGTACCATTAGAAATGTATTCGTAAACTAGTAAAGGAACTTCGGCTTCCAAACAACATCCAAAGAGTCTCACCACGTTTCTATGGTTGACTTGAGTAAGAATAAGAACCTCATTGATGAACTGTTCAATTTGATCCTCGTCCACAAACTTAGACTTTTTAATAGCAACTATGAGATTATCAGGTAGTATACCTTTATAGACAATTCCATTTCCACCACGACCAAGAATTCTATCACTAGCATAGTTGTTTGTAGCCTTCTTCAACTCTTCTGCTGTAAAAACTTTGGTTGCTTCCACACCACCCTCGTTAGAAGATATTCGTTGTTTCAACAGCAAACCACCATTTTGTTGGAAGAATTTCTCGCGAAGTTTAATGAGTTTTCTTTTCTTGATGCTGAAGTAGAGCCAAGTTGTCCCAACTACTAGGGACATAAAACCAACTCCCATACCTGTGTTTATCCAACAAATTTATTTTCTTAAATTTCGTGTCCAGTCAAATTAAGACAGATAAATTGAAATACAATTCAGTACGTTTATCTATATGCAAGTAGAGACAAGTCGAATTTCTGAGAAACTTACCAACGGAAAACTTAATCCATGGGAACTCTGAGTTCGAGTTTGGTGCAATACAACCACGACCATTCTTTCTTCCATCACCAGTGTACCCTTTTGGACATGAACAATTGTAACTCCCCGGTATGTTTATACAATTTTGTTCACATGAATTAGTATTTGGATTCGCACATTCATCAATATCTGGGTACAATTAACCAAACGATGCGTCACCCAAAATTAAAGAAAGATTAATCGATCAATAAGGTGAAATAAAAATCATGACATTAGATAGTAATTTCTTTTCATCGGTCAAAATCATAGTGTACATAAATATATATTACGTTGGCTGGTGGATCAAATAAATTAATTTGTGACACTTTGATTTTTTTATCTTTATTTTGTACGTATTTACGTGTGAAGTTGTACGGTCCTACATTATTTTGTTAACTAATGGCAAGTAGGAGTATTTAATTAGCGTCACTCTTTTTCCAAGTATTTAAACCATATTCATTATCACATATCTTAAATATTTTAAAAGCTAACTAATATTTGTACAACTTTGAATATTTAATCATTTCTATATAAAAAAAAAAGATAAGTTAATAGCGACCTTATTGCTAGACTGATTCACCTCAAAAAAGTCTTAACTCAAATTGTTAGTATTTTTTTCCCCAATAAAATAGTTTTATTCTCTTTGTCCCAATTTATAATAATCTTTTTTATTTTTTTTTCTCTCCCTCCCCAGGAGCTCTCACCTTTGCTCTCTTGATGACTCGGGTGCTTATCATTCGAATAACTCTCTCTTGTCTTATAACTAAGATTATGCATGCGAAGTTTGACAAACATTTTAAAATTAACTTGTTTATCGTATTGACTTGAGAAGAATTACATTTTACGGTACTTATCATATCTAAATTTTACACATAAAAGTAAGTTGAAACATGTGAGGGAAGTAGAGAAATGAAGTTACCTTGACAACCTGGGCCGATATATGGATTGCCTTCATATCCCGGTTTACAGGCACACCTATAACCACCAAGGCCAGTGTTGGAATCAACACATTGGCTATTATTCAAACAAGCATAATTGTTACTACTTTTTTGTGCTTCAACACAAGTAAGAGTTCCAATAGCCCAATCTAACACAATAGGGACATTATCTAAAATCCTCTTTTTAAAAGTAAGATCGCCTAGATCTTGTAAACCCATGAATTCGAATCGACTAGCTTCACCAAGAAATGAATAGCCACATGGATTGAAAGACCAAACTCCAGTGTGATTTTGTGGCGAACTTTGCATCATTGTGTTGAAATTTTTCAAGCCTTTTGGTATTGTTATTTGGCAGCAACCAATACCCATACACCTTCCTTCAGTTACCTGACTCGAACTAATACAGATCGCGGGGCAGCCATTAGCAAAGTCACCTTCAAATATTATAGCAGCTTCATCACAACCAACAACGGTGAACCTGTATATATAGGTGAATTCAAAATTCAAGTTTATAAGGTTTCAAGAGAAAATTTATAATTAGGTACGTACCTGTTGTGGGTAGAGAAACTGTAAGGACTCGAGGTTCCTAAATTCATCCAAGAAGGATCATTTCGAAGCAACATGCCCGTCGATGAATAACACCTCCGATTTATGTTAGTCGATACGCGCATTTCAGCGTCAGAGATGTCATACACTTGAATATTCCCTATGAATGGTGTTGGAGAATCTGTTGTATTAGTATCACAATTGATTTCAAAATTCGGATCCAAGGCACAACCAGATCCTAAGCCAATCCCAAAAGGGTACGGAACTGTTAGGTTCCCACACTTTTTCGGACATCCTGCTTTTGTAATGATCGCAGCTTTAGTGATCGTCGTCGTCGTGGTGTTGGTTGGCGGAGATGTGGTGTTTGTCGGCGGAGGAGAAGTGGTGTTAGAGGGGATAATTTTTTGGGCAGTGGCTAATGTCAAAATTAGCATAAATGAAATAAAAAAAGGAAGATGCCTAAGCTGCATGCTTTTTTTCTTTTTTTTTTGAAAGATAACAATGGAAATTAAAAACACATATTGAGCAAAGGGTTTCATATATAGAACTAAAGATGAAAATGACGTTACATATATAGTGTGAATAATTTATCAAAAACATTATTGAATTTATTTTACTAGTCTTATAATGCAATTACATGGTTTTGACATATGAACTACGTCAAAATAATTACATAAGTTTGTTCTTGATTTTGGGGAAGAATTTACCAAAAAATGATTTATGTTAAGACAACATTTTTTATAATTCTAAAGGGATGCAAATTTTTTAGAAATAATCTTAGTAGTTGTGTCTCATTTCTTTTATTTATTAATATTACAAATGTATATAATATAAATATGTATACACAAATTTTTTAGATATGAATTCGAGTTGACTTACATAAATGACCCCGTCCAATTTTCTTGATAGTGAGATTCTAATACAAAATTTCTAGTGGTCACTAATCAACCAATTATAATTTCAAAGAATCATTTTTTTTTTCTATTGCGGTTTGAGAATGGCAATGAGGCATGACTAGATGACGTGAGGATGTCGACTACATTGATAACCATAGTTTTGTATATATAGATTTCCACTGTAATTAATTTGTATACTGAGAAAGAATACAACATTTAAATTGCAATTCTGATAAATAAGTTTTTCTATGACCTGCAATATTCGAGTGCTTATTTGTTTAAGTTATGAATAGTTAGTGTGCCTACTTATGCACTGACAAAGTTAAAGGCCATAATTTTCAGTTGAAGCCAAGTTACGAGTCATATTTATGTATTATGCCTTCTAACTTTAACCCAAATTTATTTTTTCATAAATATTTAAAAAGTCCCGCCAAACACTAACTTTTTGTTAAAGCTTAAAGAGTCATTATGTGATTCAAATAGTAGCAGTACTTTTGGTGGCACCTAGCAAAATATTGCTAGTGCTCTGGATAGCTACTTTGCTAGGATTGATGCATAATATATGTACAATCATCATCAAACAAGTCACTATATGATAATTCATATTGATAATATTCACAGAATCTTGTATGTTATTCTTATGTCTTTCATGTATAAACATTATAAACTCAAAGACTTGATTTAATAGATAATTTTTTTTTTAAAAAACAGTGTACCAATAGTTCAACTTATACGTGCAAGGCACGTGAGGAGAAACAATTTAAATAAAAACACAACGAGATTGTAATGTTCAAATATATGTCGTCTCTTTTTTCAACACTAGGACATGAGCATCAATAAACTTTATAAGATATCATTTTACGTCACCAAAACTAACTTTCTTAAAATCATAATCTATAGAAATTATGATCTTCATCTCATCTTCATTGCAAATCCCAGTGCTTCCTAGGTCCCGTCATTGTCATTGAGATCAATCCTACAGTATAGAAAAATAAATACAAATGTTAGACATTGCACACAATGTTTATAGGCAAAATTGGTAGTATAAATTTCTTAAGAGTTTTTTCTTACTTGAAAGGTGAATTTAAAATCAAAAAAAGGTTCATACGGATTGATATAGAATTTCCTTCAAGAATTTTTTTCTAAAATCGTCTTAAAAGTAATTTGATTAAACATATAAACATTTATAATACGACATGACCTGGTTTCCACATCTTGAATGGCATGATGTTCAGTAATGCTCGTAGCTTCTTCCAAAGTCGAGTCAGACTTGTGCCCTTTAAAGCTTTGTGTGCCACTTGTAGAGGTCTCTTTATTTTTCTGCACAAAATGAAATAATTGTGCAATCGACAAATTAATCATTTATCATAGAAAATAGATTTTTCTACGTGAAATATTTAATTTAGTTCTGTTATGTGTAAAAAAATACATAAACTTATACATGATTTGGTATATGCTAAGTGTGTATGCATTTTTCTGATTGTTGCATTGTATTGTAGGTTAACAAAAAATGTGTTATAGAGAGTAAGTACGTACTTTTCTGAAGGGAAATTTATATATAAAAAAATAATTTAATCGTACTTTTCTACGTGAAAATACAAATCATTCAATAATAGTTGGCAACGAATTAATAAATTTATAACCAAAAGACCATTGGCAAGTCCAAGAGCAAGTTTGTGTAAAAAGTACACAACTTATATATGATTTGGTATATGTTATGTGTATATTTTTCTGATTGTTGAATGGTATTGTAGGCAACTTACTACTATTTTGTAGAGATGATGTTAAATAATTTATTAAATGTCTTTATGAACGCTTTCAGATGTTCTTATCTCAAGCTTTAAAGTAGCATATATTTAATTTAGAGGGGTGAAGATGAATGTCCAAGACCACGTAATTCAAGAGCTAAACTTTGTGAAGGGAGAACTTCCTTAACTTTCAAGTATCTTAGGAGTACCTTTAAGTACTAAAAGAATGCTCATAGTCAAATGTAAACCTCTCATTTATAAGATGTGTTGAGAAGAATTATAAGTTGGACCACTAGATTTCTATCGTATACTAGCAGAACTCAGTTAGGCAAAAGTATCTTATTTGCCATACAAATATTCTAGTCACACGGATGGCCCGAGATCGATCCCCCCTCAATGTCTTCTGAGTCAAGCCTGTCACATAGGACTTGCCTAGTGAGGTTTACATCCCTTGTGTTGTTTGCAAGATATTACACATTGGGGGTTTACCCAGTGCGCACAAAGTGCACCCGAAGGACAGAGGCTGTGGCAGAGGTCGTAGCGGCTGCGGGTTATCCTGGTGTTTGAAAAAAATATTCTAGTCACAAGTCTTCTCACGGCCTAAGAAGATCATACAAGCCATTGAATCTATTTGCAAAAGGTTTTTATGAACTGAATATGTTGATGCCTCTAAGAAAGTATTGATTTCTTGGGAAAAGTTATGTTGCCCCAAATCCATTGGAGGTGTGAACTTCCTAGAGGTATACAGCAAAGCTGTTCTTGAAAACCAACTATGAAACTTATGCAAGAAAAAGGACAAATTGTGGATGGTATGGATACATAATTATTACGGAGGATCATATCAACCTACACTAGCCAGTCCATGGGAGATTACATGACCTTAATGTATATATATCCTTAAATATGATAGATAATGTATTGGTTAAATGTTTATGGTGCTTGAGCAAGACTTGGGGCCAACTCTCCAAATCTGCTAGTTTTTTGTTTGTAAAGTTCTTTGAATACTAAATTTTATATATAAAAAAGTACTTATATGAACGAGATATTGATATTAAATTAAATAATTTAATCATAACAATGAAAAGTGAGAATACATATCATTCGTTCATGGTTTGACAACTAATTTATTAATAAATATAGAATCAAAAGATCTCAATTGGTAAGTCAAATGTATCATGTTCTTTAATTGATCATTTTGGCAATAAACTTCGAATAAAATAGGAGGAAATCATTAAACTATATAAATATATATACTATAAAAAAAGAAAATCAAATTAAAATTAAAGAAAAAAATTTACCTTGTAATACAATGATCTTTTACGCAGTTCTTTGAAATAAGCGTTTGCTTTCTGCACTAAATCAAGCTCTTTCATAGTTTCTTCAATTTCTAACCTCAATTTTTCTTCAACGGCAATGCATCCGTGCACAGGATTTTCATACCTAATCTTAGCCTCTAAAATTAGGGTTTCCACCATTTTTGCCTTTTTCTCATTGTCAGCAACAGAATTAAGCATATTTATGATAGTGCTTACTTTGAAAAGTCGAATAACTTTATTGAAATCTTCCACTTTATTGGAAGGAAAAAATGGAGCTAACGGACAATTCTCCTCACATAGTTTTCTTTGGTACCTACATGCTGCACATTTACCCCTTGCACCTGCACCTGCAGCATCAATATTCATCTTTCTCACAATAGTTAAAAAGTAGCTACTCCTAAATAATTATTTAACAGATCTAGAAGTTTATTCCTTATATTTGCCTCTCTTAACATGAAATTGTGGAAGAATAGAGTTGACTAATCATATTACATAAGAGATAATCTGATTTAACATTTAATTATATATTTATTTTATTTAATAGACTTGAATGTTTTTCCTTTAAAAGTTAGTGATATGTTTTAGCTTTTTGGTACGAAATCCTTCTTGCTAGTAAATATGTTCACATTTGATTGACTAGCTTAGCGTATGTGTGTCTTGCATGAATTTTATATCTACCAATAACAACAATTGACTTCAAGATAAATGAAATATTTATTTAAATAAAAAAATATCATTACATTCCTACAATAGTTGAATTCTAAGTAATTAAATATCTTCCAAACCTGCCAAAACAAATATTTTAGCTGAGTTACTTATATAGATTTTATAATTATAGATATTTTATTGTAACAGATTTTTTTTTATTTATGTAGTATTTGATCCAAATATCCCAGTTAAATTTTGCAAATAATCTGAATACGTGTGTTAAACTTGTGCTCCTGCCAATGAGTATAATTCAAAAAAATAATAATTAAATAATATACTTTAGTTGTAAAACAAAAAATATAAATAATATTTGATTTCCTGAAAATAATAAAGATTTATGATATTCAATGAGCTCAAAAAAGAAAAAAGAAAATATATTACAAAAGTTTTCAATATTCAAATGTCATCGAAAGATATCATACATCACAAAAATATTCAACATTCAATGCCATATTTTTAATGAGTAGACTTACTGTTTTGTAGCAAGATAGAAAATTCACTAAATACATAAAAATGATACGCACAAAAAATATTATATAAAAAAAATATTCTAAATATTATAAGTTCCTAAGTAATTTAAACAGGGAACCAAAACTCCAATTAATATTTGTATATGTTGGTTTTGAAGACTGAAATAGTAAAAAGTAATTGAAATTAGTTTTATCTAATTTGAAATATGGTTTTAAAGGCTAAATATAGAAAACAATATTTAACTAGGCAAACTTTTATCCTAAATATTAAGACTTCATACATAGCTCAAATAAAG